CCCCAAAACCCCAAAACCCCAAAACCCCATGAAATTAGTTTTTGAATATTTAGGATCATCAAATTTTGAATAATTAATTAAATATTTATTTAATGTAAAAGAAAAGTAAGATATATAAAAATGACGCTTTTGTTCAAATTATAAATTTCTAATTTTTGTAGAGCAAGTAAGTGATTACATTGCTGTGTCAAGCTATGAGATTATTAAGCGGCTTCGGATCGCACGCTATTATTTTTATTTGCTTTAGTTAACAAGCTTTTTGATTATCCTTTTTATGCTTTTGCACGAATTCCCATTCTAAGATGGGTCATAAGATTCAATTAAATCTGGATTCTTAAGAGAAATTATTCATGACCAGATTACTCTAAGTCAAAAGGTGATGATAATTTTCGTATTGGGATCACTTTATATTGTGGCTTGTGTTGTTTTGATAATTGCTACGATTTCAGTTGTGAAAAATGATTAACTATTGCGAAGAGGAAATATAATTATTGAAAACATTTTCAAAGGTTACGGATAAATCTTTTTGATCGTCAATTACGTGTTATTTATCCCTTCATTGATGATTTTTGCTGAGGTGTCTAGATGTGAGGAAGAACCTAAAAAAAAGGATTACTATTTTGTCTGTCTTGACTAGCAGCATTTCTCATGCCTTTCCTTCGCAGTTATTAGCAGTATTTTTTGTTTTGCTTTTGTGACATACTTTAATCTATTTGTTAATTGTTAATTTCCTAACGAGTATATACCTTACTCAACTTGGAATACCAAACCTAAGGTCATTCAAGTAGTATGGATAGTCATCTATGTATTTCACTATGACATTCTTGATGAAAGATATCATATTGTTTTCAGGATTGCAGCCCTTATTATTCTGATTTATCAATATATTTTAATAACAGAACAACCTAGGCCATACATCAGACTCGTTAATTGGTCTGATTTAATAAAGCTCGCCATTATCCTTATTTTGAACTGTATAATAGTTCTATAGGATCTTTTAAATGAAAATGTAATGTTTGAGCATCTCCCAGCGATTGCTCTCTTAGGCATAATATGCAGTGGTATTTTGATTACTAAATAATCTCGCAGAAATAAGGTTACACTTTCTCGAGACAACAGAGAACACAATCTTTTTCATAGTGAGAATGATATGGAACTTTATATGAGTTTGCTTTTCTTGGAATTAGAAAAGCTCAAAAGCCCTGAAAAAGGTATAGAACATTCATCAACTCCTCAGATATTCACAATAATCAGTAAACATATGGAACACTGTAGAAATGATGAGTGTATATGCAAAAAATATGAACCTGAATACGACAAAAAATTCTCGTCAATTGGTTCAAGAAGACTGACAATGAGATAGTCTACTTCTTTTTCAAGTATAGATTATATGCTTAAGAAGAAATACCCCATTAAGATTTCATTCGATACTAAAGTTGATATTTTCCTGGCCGAGATAGCTGATTGTCTAGATAGATTTTTATAATCACATCCAAAGTCTGTAGGATTAAAACTCCAGAAATCTTTTTTCTATCATACCTATATGAATAGTTCGTATAAAGCCTTATTCGTTTAATTAGAAAATTCTCATTCATGCAGCTAATTCAGAGGAAAAATAAATATTTATCATCTAAAAACTAAGATATAAGAGGAAATGGTTCAATCAGAAGCATCTCCTTTTTCAATGGACATCACCATCTGCCTAAAATTTGAATCCAAAAGAGTGTTATTCGAGTAGAAGATTATAGAACTATGCCTTATTTGTGAAAGTTTTTGGAATGAACTGACTTAAAACGAAAATGATTATAATGTAGAGAAAATTCATGAATTAATTTTGGAAATCTCTCAAACCATAATAAACATAAAATCTATTTATAGCCAACTTTGTTATCATAACCCCCAAAATGTGGATGTAATATAGAACTATGCTCTTATATACAGATATATTCTAAGAGATGAATTCAGATTTAATGATATAATAAATAATCTGAACCAGCTTAAGAAGACTAATAAGCTAGAACAGATTCGAGAGTTAATTCCTAAGTTTTTTGACAGCGACAACTATGCCATGATTTTAGTCTCAGGAGATGTTAAAGATCTTGGTCGAATGATTAAGGCAAACAGGGGAGTTGAATTAATATTTGGCTATATGCCTAATGAATTGCAAGGATATAAGATCAACAAAGTTATGCCTAGACTTTATGCTTAAGTACATGATGATTTTATTTAAAATTTCCTAAGAAGAGGCCATTCAAATTTTATTGATAAGAATTAGTTCTTACTTATTGAAAATAAGATGAGATTTATACAGATGACTCTTGCATATATCAAGCCATTAGTAGATCTAAAGATAGGATTGATGTTTGTATCTTTTTTCAAATTGCCTTTAAAAGTACCTAACAATACTGAAATGAACAATTATGTCAAATCTAAAGATGCTCACTACCTACTTTGTGATGCCAAGGGGTAGATATTTGGTATGTCTCATAATTGTATGAAAAATCTTGGAATTCCTCCAACAATTATCTCTAAATAAAAGGGACCTTCAGTTATGCTTGACAATTAAACTCTCTACTCTATTGACTAATTTTCTCCTAAAATTTTAGATCCAGACTTTGAGTTTGACCTTCCCAAAGGAATGAACTTTACATTTGATACCACTATTTTTAAAACCGATAAGTATTTAGCAAAGGAATTTCATGAACTTACAGGAAGGATGAGAAAGTATAACATTTTTATCTCTTTAAAGAAGAGTGAATATAAGCTTAGCCCAGCTAATATGCATGAAGTACTTTTATTTACCATAGAAATACTTTCATTTTAACTAAGCGAAGCACCAATTACAATTCCAGTAGATAAGACTGATGATCCATCGTTTTCATAATACTCAGGTACAACTGTTTCATCAGTGAATAATGATGAGCTTCGAACATCTAAATTTAAGGAATTTAAAACTTAAGTTCAAGAATTAAAGTATCCAACTAAAATTGCAGTTCTAAAGAAGATTACTATTGGCTTTTGCATTTTTTTATTAGCTGTATTTTCGCTCAATTATGCCCTCTGTGCGACATAAAATAACTCCTACATGTAAAGACTGGAAGTTTTAGATCTTCTTTTTGAGTTAACTGATAGAATACCTTAATCTAGCAGATTTGTTAGAACGTGTGTGGACATTGCAAATGGGTTTGAAAACAATACTAATGAGATAATACCAGATAGATTTACCTATTATATGAAGAGAATATCTGATAACTCCTAAATATTCAACGATCTCTAATAAAACATATACACAAAATATAAGAGTTCCCTGTCACTAGATGATGTAACAGTTTCAATCAAAGATCTTTAAAGTGACTACACTATAAAAACAATCAAATCTTCTATATCTAGTGCATTAAATATGTACAGTAGTAAATCACTTTAATTTAGCAAACTCAAAATGAAAGCGCTATAAAATACTACAATACCTTTCCTATCATTTGATTTTAAATCCTATATGGCTAATAAAACATTTCTAACTGAATTATAGTAAGACTTGTATTTTCTGATTTAAAATGGCCACGACAGCATTCCCAAAGGTCTAATACAACTAAATGAAATTTCATAAAATCATATAGAGAATCAATCTTACACATTTATGATGATTTCATTAGTGATAGGAATAGTCTCTATTTTTGTGAACTTCATAATCATTCCCATAGTTTTTCCACTATTAGTTCATTATGAAAGATTGGCATACTACATTTTGCATTCAATGAATAAACTCACAAGTAAATTCGTAGAGAATGAAGTTAAAAGTTGCAATTAGCTTTACAATTACATAGGGAAAAAGTAAGGCTCAGGTATCTCAGATAATCCATAAGGTGCAATAATGAAAAAGCCAGAAGCTAGAAAAGAGAACAAATAATTGATGAAGATTAACCCGAAGATTCCTAAGCATGTATTGGAATAAGAAAAAAGAAAAAAGAGGCATGGCAGGAGAAACAGGTCTAGAAGAGATCATGAAGAGGAAAAGATTTATGTTGAAGAATTAGATAAAGTTGAGAACACTCGCATGCATGATGATGAGGGTTCAGCATTATTAGATGAAGATCTTGATGAGGATCAGAATACAAGAGGTCACTATAATACTAGATAAGCTAGAAGTAACGCAGCTTAAGTCAGAAGTAGAGTTACTAAGGATACGCATAGACCAAGAAGAAGGACAGTAGGTTAGTCTTAAATGTACCAAATGAGTGCAGATGGAAATACTGCCTCTGTAGGAAGTATTGATGAGTCAACTATCTAAACTAGCATTGAGATGAATTCTTCAACCAATAAAAGTTCTGGAGATGATACAAGTTCTGATAACAAGGAGGATGAAAGTTACAGCTAAAGTTCATCTTCCTAAAGTAATTATACTCATTACACGAATGTGTCTCATTGGAAAAATTTAAAACAAAATGGATATTCAAATGCAGGAAATATTGGAATAAAATCAAATGCTTCATTTACTTATGATATGACTCATGCTAAGTCATCGGAGTTGCCAGCTGGAGACACATATCAAGAAAGAGAAAATAACGAGGCACTATCTGAGGAGGAGAAAGAATTTAAGAGACAAATCAGAGAAAGATAGCAAAAGATTAGAGTCTCACTTAAAAGAAGGAAGCTTAAGAAGATCTTGTACTTAGTTTTATTCGTCATCATCATTAGCATTTATTTGGGTGTTAATACCATGTATACAAGATTCGTCTATGATTATGAGGATCATTTGCAGGCAGATATAAATATAATCGATCAAAGGATACTTTGTTATCCCTATGCAATAACTCTTATAAAGGAGATGGTGGCAAGAAACTAATCAGTTAAGGGATGGAATGATGAAGATGTAGCGGATAATTATCACGGCTTAAGAAGTTAAATAATGAAATGCTACTCCAAAGAAAAATAATTTAGTGATATGGTTATGGGTAGATTCACAGTAAATAATTAATAAGTGCTGCATGATCAATACTAAAGTATAGCCTTTGATCTTGAAAAAAATACAATGTGCGCAACTCTGTATTAATAAACCAATCCTGAAAAGTATAACCAGTGTATAACTGCCTATAAAGGCATAAATCAGCTTGGAATAGTTGAAGTGCTAAATCTTATACTCAGAGAGGGAGAAAAAGTAATAATAAATTACGAAAATCAATATATCTTAAGATAGCAACTCATAGATATATTATTGAATTCGCCTCTTAATAAGGTAGAAACAATCAAAGATATTTTTATTGATGAAGCTTTGAAGTATCAAAGAGATTTTATGATAGATGACATAAAGAAATTCGCTTAAAATCTCTTTAGAATCTTCGACATATTATTCAGTGTATTTGTAACATTTTGCTTTATAATGGTGATTATCGGAGTGATGTTTATCATTTAGAAATTGAAGAATCTGATTTTACAAATTTATCACATTGTGCTTTTGATTCCCTATGGAGAAAGAACGAAAAGAGAATTGAATGAGCTTTTGAAGATTAGTTTATGATTAATTATTGGTTTAGATTATAATATTGAATTAATAACTTTGACTTAAAATTTAATTATTAATCGTTAAATGCAAGGCAAGCATTACATAAGTAATCATAGATAACTAACATATTTATAGATGAACCTCTTGACAGCTAGATCTTCAAAGATTTCTAGCATACTCAATTACCTCATATGATGTAAGTAGCATACTATTTATTTTTATTCTAGGCATGATAATGATCTGTTAAAGAGAAATGAGGATATTTTTAGTCACACATCTGAATCCTAAAAGTTGAATTTCTACAATGAAATGGATATCATGATGAAGCATTAGCTCAATTAAAAGAATCAAACAATGAAACAGGCAAATAAAAATGATGTGGTGATATATAATTAAGTCATGCCTGAGGTTGACTATTGGCAAGGAAGAAATAATCAATTCATGCCCTCATAGTCATTAGATTAATGTAAGATTATACATTTTAGAATAATAAAATCTTTAGCATAACTTTTTAATGATTCTAAGTTTGTTGGATACGATCAAAATAACATCTAGATAAATACTGCTTAGTTTCAAACAGACACTGCTTCTGATGGAGCAAATGTGACACCAAATAACAATATCCTACCCAGCAATTCCATACAATTAAGTTTAGAAAATTTCAAATCCAGTTCAAATCTTGTTTAATTGCCGCCCTAAACTCTTCCTAACACAGAGATTATTTCTCATTTGTAGCCTTAATTTGAAGAGCCCTAGATAATTTTACCTCCTTTGTAATTCAATCACCAACTTATAGCTTAGTATGAGTAAGTAATGCAACTTATGCATTAGGAAATTCAGACATTGCTTCATAAAAACAAGGATTTACAAGAATAGGCGCAGATCAATGAAAGTAGATAAAATCTTACGGCAAGTGTTTAAGAGTAGAGCAACATCCAATAGTTTCAACAAATGATGAAAGAGAAAGATGATCTGATTGAAACATTAAGGTAAAGAGAGTAGGTAATTATGTCTCTGAGAGTCGAGCTTGATATAATGAACCAAAGTAACTAAGAACTCTAATAAAATTAGAACTCATAACAGTAATATCAAAATCTTAGTGAGCAGCAATTGAAAAATAGAAATGATTAACTTTTAGATAAAGTACGGAAGCTTGAGAAATAGAATAGAGATTATGAACAATAAAACTTTGAGTTAGAGTAAATGACCAGGCAACTTTAAAGAGATTTAAAAAACTAAAGCATTATCAATGACTAGATGAGATAAGAAACTTAGGATATTAACATTAAAAGAGAATAAGGAGATTTACTGGTACAAGAGGTTAAGAATAAGTTATGTTAGAATCTTATACAAACAAGGCAGCTGCAAAGCGTGATCGATAACTAGATAATTGAATTAACTAACTTGCAGAATATTAGAGGTCAATAGGAAAAATTCCTAGAGTAAGCGAATCATGACATTGAACAGCTAAGAGACTAATTAAATGAATCAGAGGGAATTAAATTAGGTCAATTTTAGATAATGGAAAGAAAGGAAAGAGAAATTTAAAATCTGAGAGCAATGGTAAGACGGTTCCTTGCATTGATAGAAACTCACAGAGAAGAGTTCGGAGAACTTTAAGATGTTAACTATGATTTACTATTCAAAGATGTCTCTAACAGTAATATCTCATTCCAGCTACCTCCATCATAGTATCATCATCTATAAAGCTCAGCTCATAAGCATGTGAAATTTGAGGGATCTGTAGGTCCTGCTTATAAATCCAAGCCACAGAAGTAGTCCACTGAAAATGAAGACTATTATGGAATGGTAGAAAAGCTGACATAATATGTGAGAGAGAAATCATAAGCAGGAACATCAAATCAATCATTTGCTTAATCTTAAGGAAGATAGCGAAGCCCAAATAGATCTTATAATGAAGCAGATTACACAATGCCTAAGTCAATTTTGAAAAATTAAAATCAGAGCATGTAGAGTGAGCCTTAAGCTTCGCCTTAGATATCTTGGGTTAGTAGTACAGTTAACAGCGGACAGACCAATCACAATTAATCTTAGTAACAGCTTTAAAAGCCTAGGGGGAAAAGTCCAGATAGAAAGCCAAATGTTGAGGGACTTAAGGCAACATTAGCCTCTCTAATAGAAGAGAAGAATAACCTTGAAAAGTAACTCAGAGCTGGAGACAATAGAAAACCATAAGATGACCTGAAATTTGAAATTGATTTAGCAGCAAATAATATCAAGAGGATTCAAGAAAAAATTCAGGCTGCTTCATAGTGATTATTGATAAAACATATTATGCTTTTGACAATATTTTTTATTTACGTTTTAAGCTGCAATCAGAAATATCCAATGGGGTTTTGGGGTTTTGGGGTTTGGGGG